AAGAAATAGCCTAGATAATTCGTGTCAAAAAGGTAGATGGCAGACTGCTACTCCAGAAAATATGAAATGCCCAATATTATGGGAATTGGGGATGCTTGCAATAAATTTTCAGACATACTAAAACAAACTGCAATCACAAAGAAAAGTAATTAATTAATCAACTGTGAGAACAATTATCTTTGTTCCATTGATTTTTCTTTCCGAATTGTTCCCTATAATTCAAGAGCTTAAGCAACATGTTTTTCGAACATAGAATGATTGGAACCTTTAGGGGATACATTTGATTTTCAGAGGATGTTGTGGATCTTGTTGAAGTATTTGATCGTCAAGAAATGTCCGATCACATCTTGATCTCTTTTTGAATATTCCATGAGTTTATGAAATTTTTGAGATATTTTTTCAAAAAAATATGTACACTTTTTTTATATGTGTGACATAGAGTTAGGGTAGAGTAGCCTCCAAGAAATTCTTGATAAGCCTTGGGGTTTCAAGAGCAACGATTGACTCGTCTTATAGTATATTAAATTTAGAATTTAATCCAAAATTTATATGAGTTTGATCCGTTAAAATTTTTAAGCCTACATGGGATACAAACACTGAGAGAGAATTTGCTTTGCAATGATCCAGATTTATTAGGCTTGTTCTGAAAATAGTATACCAAGGTACAAGATTCCACTTTCTTTTTCCCCTTTTCCACTTGGAACACAAAACGAAGTCGAACGTTGTATTAATTGGTTTATTGTTAATTACATATTTTGTATACCTTTAGGAAAAGAAGAAAGGAAATAGGGTTTTGTGTAATAATGAATAGAATCACGATTACCTATTCATACTTTATTATACAAGATTGTACAATACTTCAAGTACAATTTAGAGTGTCTCTGCGTAGGTTCTATACTTTTTTATTTTAAAAACAAGTCAATTGGTTATAAAATAATGATTAAAAAGTCAATTGAAAAATTGGTTAAAATTAGTTATAAAATTGGTTATAAAATAATGATTAAAAAGTCAATTGAAAAATAAGTCATGATGTATTTTCTCATTATTTAAATTAAAAAATTATAGTTTTACTCTTTTAATATTTTCAGTTGTGTTAATGTATTACTTTTTCTTTTTATACTAACCAAATTTGAATAATAAAATATATTAATTGTATTCCAAAATAGTTGACGAAAAGGTAGTTTTTAGTTCTTTGAAATAATAATTGTGATTTTTAATTATTAAGAATTTTTAACAAGAAAATTTATATTTTATTATAGTTTAATTACATATCTAAATAATTTATTAAAAATAAATTATTCTCTCAATCGCTCTAAATACTAATTGAATTGACCTTAAATTGAAGCATTATAGTTTATTTTAGTTTCTTTTGATATGTTTGACATACTATTTAGGGGTTCTTCACCATAATTATTTGTTGAGCCTTTGTAAAATTAGGTAATTGTATATTTATGTATTTTCAAATTTATATAATATTAAATTCTTATTGAATAAAGGAAGTACCCAACTAACTTCGATCATAGAGGGAGAAATATAATCCTGCATAATGATACTTCTCATGCTTCCTAATATATAATAATTTTTGAAAGAAAATAATTTCCCAAATTAATTGTCTTAAATTTTAATTTAGATTATTCTCAGATCATGTTTTAGAAAGGAAGTCTTTATTATACAATTTGAACATCAATATTCTATAATAAAAAAGGGACTTGAAATTATATTTTATTTTTAAGTATTTTTTCCTAATTTTATAAAGTATTCCAATTGAAATTTAATAAGAACTTGTATAAAATGATATCAATTTATAATAATATAAGAACATCTGAATATAAATCTACATAAATTATCGTCAAGTTTTATATTAAAAGATCTTCTTTACCTGAAATAGTCCATAAATAAGCAAATGAAATAATGTTTCTCAAGGAGATATTATAATTGTTATATATAAATGTATGTTACCATAGTTTTAATCAAATGAACGCTTGAATTATAAAATTACCAAAAAGATAATTATTTTTAGGTAAAAGTACTTATTGAAAAAATATTAATAACAATAATCAAGTGGTGCATTTAAAGAAGATAGTAAAGATTAAATGGGAAGTAGGGTCCACACACAACCAAGCTTTTGAGCCTAGTATACAAGCAAATAGTGCAGTAATATATTTGAAATGACCATGATGCCCTTGGTCGTCCTCTTCTATTTTCTATTTAATATAAAAAAATTGGCCTAAAGTAAATAACTTCAACTTGAAAAAGTCAAACATGCTGGTTGTCAGTTCTATTATAGTATTTATGTTCGACAGGACTAGAAGCAAAGAAAGGAAAAAAAACAAGTGACCAGTGTGTAGTTTTAGGGAAAATACATTAAGTCCCCCTTAAACTATGTTTTTTTCCTTCTAAAAAGACACTGAAAACTTTGAAAAGGTCCTATTATCCCCTTAAATAATTTCAAAGTAGTATATTTTCCCTTTTCTTTGCCAATATAGTTATAAGAAAAAAAGTGCAAATCACGCACCAATTGTTTCTCGCTACGTGTAAGATTCGGTCACTTTCTATTTTTTCGTTTTATTTATGTTTTCATTTTATACTTTCTTTTTATCCATAGATCATGTCAAAGCTCCTCCACAATAGTCACCATACTCCAACAACAACAACAACAATAACAATATAATCCTACTAGTAGGGTCTGTGAATGGTAGTGTGTATGCAGACTTTACCCCTACCCTGAGGTAGAAAGACTGTTTCCGATAGACCCTCGACCCCTCCCTCCAAAAACTCCTACCTTGCTCTTGGGGTGACTTGAACTCACAACCTTTGATTGGAAGTGGAGAGTGCTCAATACCAATATTATACCCCCACTTCCACTGGCCACCACCAAACCATCGTCAAACCACCACCAAATTAACTAGGGAAAATAAAGTACTAATAAAGGTGGGATTTGGGAGCTAATAATTTAATTTCAAGCTGATTTATTAAGACCCCCTCAAAGTTCAAACGTCAAAAGTGATAGTTCAAGGGATTCCTATGTATTCTTGGTAGTTTTATCATGACTTCAGAGGAAATTGATAAGATAACACCACAATCAAGTCGCTAACAGTAGAACGATACATTTTATATTTTTAAATATTTAATTTTAAAATTTTATTTTACTCTTAATGACATACTTTTATAATCACAAAATTCTATCCATATTTAAGATTATCAATTTCAAATGTTTTTTTTTTGCTTCTTAAATTCCGTTGACAATTGAACACCGCTACAGTGGAATACTAAATGCAAAGACTTGAAAGAATACAAAGCGTTTAGTGACTTGGAGTCTGAACAAGATCAGGTGGGGGAAGCTTTGCCCTTAAGTTAACCTAATGATTAGAAGGTGACTCATAACTACTTTCCCACCTTACTTTTATTTGTTTATAATGAACTGCAAATTCTTAAGAAATAATTTATCATAGTACCCACAATAAAGATAGTATTTTGAGAAATTTTGAGAAATAGTTAGTGAAATAAGTAATTAATGATACGGGTAAAATATGAAAAAATATGATCTTCTCTTGATTTAATAGAATTGACAAGAAAAATTAAAAATATATATTTAATATAGTGGACAAGTAAAAATGGACGGAGGAATTAGTAGTTAAATGTGAATTGGTTGACTTGCTTGACTTTTGATTTCGGCTAATTAGCGATGATCATCTCTTCTATACCCAACCATCAAAACTCGAAAAGGTCGTGTTCACGAGAAAAAATATATAGAAAAGATAGAAAAGGAAAAGGACAAGAGGGTAAAAATATATATACTCCAACTTTACAAATTAACTAAGGGCTCGTTTGGTACGAAAGATATGAAATAATTAATCTCGGGACTAAATTTAAGATGAATTTATTTCATGTTTGATTGGTAGAAAATTGCGGTATAATTAATTCAGTGATTATAGTATTTTTTTTTATCCCCATAAAAAAATAAAATAACTAATCTCGGAATAACATCTTTCCAACCAAACGACCCTGAGAGATGTCAGAATGGAGGGGCTATTTACAGGTCGGAATTAAGTGTCATAATAGACACCTTCATTTATGATGTAATGCCGTGGAGGCTGTCTGAATATTTCCTAGAAACGTTTAGTGTAAGCTTTTCAATGTGATTTAAGTATAAATACGAGGACAAGATCAATCAAAATTGTAACCTAACAACCTTGTTAAGTGTCGAAGTTTCAACAACAGAGGAACAATGAAGGTACTGTACATTTATAATCATTTCTTTAGCATCCAAAAAATCAAATGCACAATAAAATTGCAGCTTAATTCTTATAGAATTACTGATAATGTTGTACTGCTATTTTCTTGTTAATATAATGCAGCAAAAGGTGGTTCTTAATGTGTCTGTCAATGGATGCAAGTCTCGTCCCAGTATGGAGAAGTTTGTTTTAGGTTGTTTGGTACCTTGTCTGGTTCAAGACGCTACATGCAAAAATAAAGTCATGTCCATTGCAGCAACTTTACCAGGTAATTAATTATCGAACATTATTGAATTCTTAAGCATCTAAAGCAAAGGAAGACCTTAACTTAACCTGAAAAAGTATATGTTGAGCATTATTTAGTTAGCTAAAACGTACAAGTACTAATATTTGCTTTGTATTTTTAAAGGGTGTGACAATCGCATCATTTAAAATCTTAAAATGTTAGATGAATTAATTAATTTCACGTAAGCACTCACCAAATTACATTTTTTTATCACATTAATGTAGACTTTATTCATTATAGCAGTAACATCACAAACTTTACCTGTTGTAACAATAAAAATATCTTCGCAAGTAGGTTTATCATTATAGTGAATAAAGTTCAATCGTAATTTTGTAACTCTACTATTATAAAATTATATTAATAACTTTACTGTGATAGTGGATAAAAATCGATTTAATGGATAAAGTTTAATAACCATGCATAAAATTAATTAAATGGTAAATTGACATGTTCATTTATTCATATATTTAACGTTGCAGGGGTGGAGAAAGTAAGTATAGAAGTAGAAAAGAACGAGCTGACAGTGATTGGAGAGGGAATAGATCCAGTAAAGCTGGTGAACATACTTAGGAAAAAGGTGGGATATGCTAAGATGGTGAGCGTTGGTCCTGAAAAGAAAGAAGAAAAACCTGCTGAAGAAACAGTGCAGCCAGTTCTAACAGTGCCTCATGTGGTCTGTTGTAATAATAGTAATCGAGTACCCCACATGGTTGAAATGTGGGAAGTTGATCCTTACTACTCTAACACCTCCTGCCTTCCATTTCGGTGAAAGAATTATTATTGAGATTGATTACTTATAAGCAAATTATCTTCTCTTCAATTGCGCTGGCTTGACATCTAGTGTGTTGTATTTGCTTTGTTTACCCTTAAAAATGAGTAATTAGATTTGTACGCGGTTTAAATGATACGTAATTTAGTTCAATACAAACGATTTGAGAACAACAAATAATTAAATTAAAGAGAGAATGAACGATCAAACCAATCGTAATGGAACAATCAAGCCTGGTCTTAAGTTGAACACTAAAACCCGGCCTCGATCGAACCCTCGATATGGGCTCGGTTGCAATTAAAGAAGAGAGTAACTGAAGAACACTTTGAATAATAGCTAGAAGACAAAAATAAACTTTTATTGCTTTGATATGCGTGTCAACAGTATGTTAAAATAAAAAATTCTCCCCTTTTTATACCAGGAGAATTTCAATTCTAGCACAAGTCTAAATAAGGTAAAAATCTTTTATTTCCGGTAAATGACGACCCGTAATTGATATCAGACGAGATTTCCGCCGTAATATTCGGTTGAGGGCGAATATTACGGCTCCCTACTTGTCATGCTCAACTGTTTAACTTTTTTCCGTGGTCTCGAAACTGTACTTGGTCTGGATCCGTCATTTAGCCGTACCCGATCCCAAATGCATCGTTCATCCCTCCTGAGCTCCTACACGAGGGAAACTTCGGCTTCGCTTGAAGTTGTGTTGGACCGTGCTTCCCTCTCGTTTCTTCATTGGGGAATCGGGGGTAACATTGTCCCCGATTTTACCCGCACACATATAGTCCCCTCACTTTTTGGAGAGTAGATTTATCGAAGCGACGAGAAGTGATTAATTGATCCCGATTCCTTCTACCGTATGCTACAACCGGGTCGACGGGTCAGTGAAACATCCTATCAGTCGCGTCGTTCTAACTTCGGACACGTGTTAGCCGACGGTTGCCCGTCCTCGAATGTGAAACGTGACACATTAATTACCTCTTCTCTATAAAAGCTTCGGTCCTTTTTTACTTTTCGATTCCAGAAATCCTCAATTTACCCCCGAACTTTTCACTTGCCTTTAACCCCTTCAAATCTTCATACATTGTTCTTCATATCTTCATCTTCCCATCTTCATACTTCATCCTTGAACTTTTAAGTTTGATCTTCAACTCTTCATCCTCACCTTTAAATCTTCATACTTGCATTCATATATTCATATTTCCCAGAACTCGATGGGAAGACATCAAAATACGTGCCTCAACAGACCCGACCACAGATGCTGAGGTGGTCGTACCGGAAGTGGCCCCGAAACTTCCTCTAAAGAACTTCATTCATGGAGGTTGCTCTATAGAAAATGACTTCAAGGTCGAAAAAGCTTCTAGTCAAGGGGATCGAGGCGAGGAGGTATGGAGGTACACATGCTCCATCACCGAGGACACGCTCCCTACGCTTCGGGAGGACTGCAAATGAGAAGGCAAAGAAGTGGTCATCCCCGGTCCTGATGAGGACATCACCACACATGTGGAGGGGTATTTAAGTGTTTACACATATCACTTCACACTTGTCCCGGTGGATCCCATAGTGCTTGACATTTGCAAAAGGTACGAGGTCTGCCTCGGGCATATTCACCCATCCTTTTGGAGGATCTTGATCTTCCTCCACCACTTTGTTAATAACACTAAGGCACCCCGATTCACCATCGACCACCTGCTTTGTCTATACAGTCCCCGAATCTTTTGAGAGGGATTAATCAAGCTCGTTCGTCGGGCAAAGAAAGCTCTATTCTCGAGCATTGACAAAGATAGGGATCGAGGCTGGTAGGGGAGATTCGTTCGGGTAAAAACCGAGGATCTCATTCCCTCCGAGTTCCTGCCATTCCCTGAAAAGTGGAACCTAGACCGTAAGTTCCTCTACTTTTTGAGTATTTAGAATTTCTTTTGGATTTTTGTCTTTCTTTTTCATTGCCTGGTTCTATCATCGTGCAACGGTTGCCCGAGTCCCCAACGTAGTTCCCCACTTCAAAGAGTAGGTCGAGGGGATCTGCACACAGCTATCGTATTTCAAACACGAATGGCGCAAATTCTCGAAGGGCAAGTGGGGGGGCCGTTCCCATGGTGAGTGCTCTCCCCGACCAAGTTTACTCTCATATTCAATTGTCATTTTCACTAAGTCCCTCTCTTTCTTTCATAAGTTTGCCCAAGACCACTTAGCTCCGGGCATTGGATGAGGACGAGGCTTCATCCTCACTCGATAAACCCCCCGCTTCGGGACAACCTGAGGCTACTACGAAGAAGGAAGAGAAAAAGAGAATAAAGAGGAAGTCTTCGGGTTCCCTCGACGCCGAGGCCAAGAAGAAGATGGTAGCGGTTCGGGCTCGAAAGCGTAACAAGAAGAGTACCCAGGCTAGGGTCCCGGACCCCGAATATCTTTATCGGCTCAGGATCTATCCTGTAGATGACGACCTGAAGTTCATCGCCCATGGGCTGGCTGTTGATGAAGAAGAGCGGGCGGTGACCGGTGGAAGTGATCGAGAGGTCGACCCCTCTTTGGCTCAGGAATCCAAAGGAAAACCAATGGCTATGGCTTCCCGAGAAGCTACTCCTGCTCCGAGTGAAGCCGCCGGTGTCATTGACATCACGAGATTTTCGTCCCACAAAGAGTCTTTATTCGACGAGGCTCAGGCCATTAAAGAGAAACCAAACGAGACATCGCGGGCCACTGACAAGGCCCTCAACTTGTTATTTGAGGGCATGGACATCAACGCATTGGAGGATTACTCCGAGTTCGGTCACCTAGAGATCCCGGAAGCTAGTGAAGCAGTTCCCTCTCTGAGCGTGGATCCCGACCGTAGAAGAATGGTCATATTTAGGATCCCGCCAGATACCTAGGTACTGTCCAAACTACTTAGCGTGGCTAGTTATCCGCGCTCCTTGGTGACCGAAGAGGATCAGGCGAAGATAAACGATGTGAGGGCACTGATCCTTTTTAACGAGGCACAACAGGTGCTGAATCGGGTATGCTTCTCTTTCTTTGTGACCTTCGTGTAGGTCATTTAACCGTAGTGTTTCTTCATGATCTCATCACTTTGTTTTTCAGGTCTTGGTGCTTAATCATGAAAGCTTCCTTCGGTATCGGATGGAAGTAAGCCAGCTCGAGTTCGAGCTCAAAGAGAAAGTTTGGCAGAAGGACATGTACAAGGCTCTCAGCGAGCAAAGAGACGAGGCTATCAAAGACCTCTCCATTCTCCAAGCTGAGCTGAAAACAGATCAAAGGGAGGCTTTGTTAGTGAAATAGGAGCATGCCGTACTGGTCGAGAAGGTAAGGATATTTGAGAATAAAAATGAGAGTCTAAGTGTTGTTGATGACGTCCACAACATACCTCAATAAGAGATATGATACGGTCGTATGCAATATAAATTACCAAACTATGAGTCAGGGTCGAATCCACAGGGAGTTATACGGGGGTGTTAGGTGTATATACTTGAAGAAAGTGAATGGACTAACTAAATTTACACTTCCACAATGAGTTGAGATTTCTACTTCTACTATTACTCTAACAATTGTGAGCTAAGGAAAATAAACTAGAAATGAACGATTGATTTTGGTATTTTTCCAAATAGTTTAAAAGCCTAGAGATGTGACCATGACCTAGGTGTTCGCCTAATGAGTTAAATACGTTAATACTTGTTTTGTTGATTGGGGTGTATTATAGCTCTCAATTCTACATTACCCACTCAATACCTCTCGTTCAAAGAGTGATTTTATCCAATTTGGCTTTATCAAGTTCAAATGGGTATCAAACAAAATAATTAATATGAGCTCAATTCGGGTTCTTACTATCTCTAGTTTGAACCCTTAATTAGGCTAATCGAACTCTCAATTAACCCAATTCCTTATTAGCCAAGTTATTCTAAACTAGGTCTCTTTCTCAAGTAGAGACTAAGTAAAAAAAGCATGAATCAGTATTTGTTACCATTAATTCTAAAATTGAAGCATGAACTAGGCTAAATAATCAACACCTAGTCATAAACAATCATTAAATTAAATACTCATAAGGTTTACACACTATGGTTGGGTCACAACCCTAGTAAAAATCTAGCTACTCATAGTGGGTAATGAAGAAAATAAAGAAGAAATGCAGATAAAACCCATAATCAAAGATTTAATTGATGAAGCATAATGTTTAAACACTAAAATAATCAAACACTTCCTAAAATGACAAAAGGTAACGACTACAACAACTTTCTACTTTGAAATGTGACCTAAAATTGTGAAACTCGTCTATTTATAGAGGGCGGGAATTCATTGACAAAAATGCCCATTGCGGCCGCACAATTCCATGTGCGGTCCACAGACTTCTTCAGCTGATAGGAGAGTGGTTTTTGCAGCCGCACATTTCTGGATTGCAGTTGCGAAGCAACTTCCGCGGTCGCACAATATTTTGTGATGTCCGCACTTCAGCAAGGCGTCAGGACTTGGTCTTTTTGCATATTATCTGAACATTGAATTTTTGTCAGTGAAAGCCAATTCATGTGTGGTCCGCACATTGGTCAAAATCCTGTTGGGTTCTGTTGCTTGGTTTGTGGCCGGAGATGGAATTCTGCGATCTGCAATTTCTTCTGCAGACCACACTTCTTTACCTCTGCGCCCTTTTATTCCTTATACTGCGAACACTCCTTTTTTATTCGGATTTCATCATGGTAGACCAAACTTCCAACATTCATGCAATCTGCACAATTTCATTAGTTTCGAGAACACAAATTAATACTTTCGAACTAAAACTAAAGCAACAAGGTGCTAATAAGCAGTCAAAATCCCCATTTAGCAACTCCCCAAAACTTAAGTCTTTGCTTTTCCTCAAACAAATAAATTAGTTCCCACCTCCTAAAGTTAAGGGTCATTTCAGCGAGTCAAAGGTGAGTCATTCACACATCAGTTGGGACCAACAATTACCCACACTACTCATGCATTATCAATAAGGCGACAAGTCAAATATTCATGCACATATAGTTCTAATGTGACATTTGAGCTTCAAGAATTGACTTTACTCATCAAGGAC